GGGCTTTACTAACCAGACCTAATTGATTCGGTTTACCTACTCCATCCACTGCACCCAGTGGGGGTGGGGGGGGGGCGAATCATTGGCTTCTGCCTAAATTAATCAATGCATTTGATTATCCTCTGGTTAAAGAGAAATGTACGAAGTGGGTCCACACGCAGTCTCTCATCTTATCACTGTCAGGTGTGAATATCAAGTTCAATTCAGTTTTACATTGTCATTACCTCTCTCTCTCTCTTTTTACCAATAGCACATCTGCAATGTCTCTGCTCTACGAATGTATCAATACTGTGCTCGCAGGTGAGTGACTCATTTCTACCACTTTCTTCTACGAGTCTTTCTCTCTCTCTCGTGTGTGTGTGTGTGTGTGTGTGTGTGTTTTATTTCTCTGTTTTTGCCGGTAGTTATCTAATTTTGTGGCAAGCAGACTCGAATCTTCTCTCGGTTAGCTTCTTTAATTTCGCTCCGCTTCCATTAACCTGAAACGTCAAACTCTTCGGTTAAAAGGAAAAGTCAATCGAAACTAAGATGGAAAAACCGGATGTTTATTGTATCCTTTTATCTAATGCCAGCGAATATCTGTTTGACCAGCGCAAAACTTAGCTTTCATGCTTATTAGCGCATTGAATCTCGATCGATCCGCCAAATTTTATGCACCTCTTCACAAATATGGTAGAGGGAAGGCAGAGGTGGCTGTGTGACGGCTTTCTAATACGGGGGGTGTGGGGGTGGTGGTGAAAAAGAACTAGACGTCTATTGTCCTTACCCTGTTGAAGAGTATGCTTGTGATATAACCCCCAGGTGGTATTTTAGTTGAGGCTGATTGCTTCAGAGCTTATTTCAACTGTGACCTTGAAGCTCGAAGTTAAAAATTGGTACTAAAAATGCGTCAAGTGGCGTTGCACAAATAAGAAATTGGAATCCCGAACTTACAGACCCCAAGCTCGTTCTCTATCTTAACACTTTTGCAATGTGAAAGCTGGGGAGGGGTGTTATTGAGTGGATATTATTTCATTATATTAATTGCACACTTTAATTAACAACTATCGATTTCGAGCTCATGTCGGTAGGTAGCTTTGTCCCACATCTACTATCTGCACTTTCAGAGGTGCAAGTTAAGTTTTCGCCTCAGAAATTGCATAAGTTGTTCGTAACTATTTGTATAAGTCTATGTCCACTCTATTAGTATGACCTTTTTTGCCATTTATTCTCCCTTTATAATTAATAATCATTATAACTGGAGCCCCTAATTGATTTATGCATTTCAGTTTATTTGTTCTGACTCAATGCCCCCATTTTGTTTTTTTTTTGCCCTATTGCGCTAATCTTCACAACCGAAATGGGTATTTTCTTTCCGTTGAATATTATGTGCGTTGTTGATTCAAAATCCTGTTGTACCGTTGACCTACTTGTCTGATCTCTGCATGATTTCGCTGTTATCTCGCTTCTCTACCTCTTGAATATTCGTCTAAAGTTCTTCTTTCCATATCTTCAGGTGTGCCCGATCACAATGCTTCAATTCAGGTGGGTCTTGTCTATACTACTTATTTGGTTTTAAGTATGCTTCTTTTGTGTAACTGTTTTTTATTTTTGTATTATTCTTTCCTTCAGCTCTGTGTCCAAAAGCTGCGAATACTTATTGAGGATTCAGACCAGAATTGTAAGCTTATTTTTCTCTGATGTATCTTCAAAGGAAGTTGTTAAAACTTCCGGTTATTTCGAATGAAATGTGGTGGGAGGGATAGGGGGGGGGGCAATTGTAAAACTATGATTGGTCAACTGGAGCCATCCAATCGTTGTGAAGTAATGTGATTCTATGCTTATAAGAGCACATTATCATGTAGTATGCGAGTAATTTAGAGTGAAGCATATTAATACATTTTTTTTTGCTAGACGGAGCACTCGTTTCATTAATTACATAGAGAAATCGATATGACTCTGTGAAAGTGAACAAGTTTTTTTGTTTTGACAATCTTCCCTACAACCTAAAAGGCAGAAGGAGAAGGCCGACACAGACACTAGTGCATCCAACTGCATTCAGACAAGAACTAAACTGGAATAAACCATTTTGCATTGAAAAGTGAAGCGACGTCATTAATTTATTGGAGATTGAATCTAACACTTATATTCAAAGTCGTCGTAGGTAACAGGAGAGGTCACTATTCACTCAGTGGGTTGGAATGGTGGCATTGTGTGATTTGATGCGAGATCACACTTGTGTTTAGCGCTAACGTGCATACAACTTAATTAAAAGTCGATAAATTATTTACTAGATTGTTGACTCTTCTACGCTGATAATCGACGTATTTCCGACCAAATGCTTGAATTAAAGGGCTTAATAATTACTTATCTCGATTTCTAAAACGATTTCTATATCGCAGAGTCTTTAGGTAAAGACGGCTTTGGAATAAGTTTCTGAGAAACGTTTTTTAATGGACTTTTACGGTATGTTACTTTGCTGGGTTCAGTTTGTCTTGTTAAGCCTGTGGAGACTGCGAAACCCTTTCAAGTTCTTTTGTTACATTCTAAAAGCTAACTTAAAACATGCATTCTATTAATGTTCTAGTAATTTCCGTAAAACTTATCTACCTTTTAGTTACTTACGATTGGTTCAATTCATTATTGGAGGAATGTGGGTTGTAGAATGTCATTATCTGGAATACCTCGACGGTTCCTTCTACCGCTCTAAAGCAATGTGGAAGTGCTGAAAGCAAAATTAATCGTTTGTGTGTGTGTGTGTTATAATTAGCGCGCATAAAAGTCCCAATTATTGAATAGAAAATAGGCAATAATTAAGGTGAAAAAAAAACAATTAATTTCTTGCGAATCGATAACGAACTCTCATTTTCCGCGTCTACTACTCTTTTCTTCTGGACGTATTACTAACCTCTCTGTTCGAGTCAATTATTATAATCGCATTACCTGGTACTTATATGTGCTATCGGGATTGCTAAATGCTAATTCCATTTTCCATGACCCCATTCTTTCCCCGTTGATCTCTCACAGCCCACTTGAGTTGAATTGGAAGCACATCTGGACGTAACTTCCATTCACTTAGTTCTTTCCATGCTCATACAATCTTCATTCATTTTGTTGAGCCCTTTTTTGCCTGTAGGAGATGTCCGCTATTCAGCAGTTTTATCAAAGTTGAGTGTGAAAACGAGGTTCTTAAAATTACCACAAAACAAATAGCTAAGAATCACTTGACTTATTAGATTGAAGCAAGGTTCTATAAAGCTGCAGTATTGTATCAAATTTCCACCACTTAAATTACTAGATGAGCACCAATTTCTTGGCCTCATATTTTACAGTCGTGCGCGTTGGTTTTCAATTGCCTTTCGTTGTTTGTGTGTCTGTTTTGGGGATATCAACTTGGGAGAAATTTATTTTAATTTCAAATGGCAGACGTTTTGATAGTTATCATTAACCCTTTAGTTGACTTAGGGTTTCACAGAGGGTGAGGAACATTAAAGTGACAAAAGTCGAGAGGGGGCAGAATAATGATTCATAGATGTAAAAAAGACAGTAAGACAGACACAAAGGTAGAAAAAAGGTGAGGTGAGTACTGTGTAAGACACAAAGGTAGAAAAAAGGTGAGGTGAGTACTGTGGAGACAGTCGAATATGACATACAGTGGGGTGATGGTAGTTTGATGTCAGTATTCAACTGCCAGTTAATAGACTCTTTTGCCGTATGAGTATACGTTGCCCAAGATGCACCACGTGGAGGTAAGTCTATCGCACACCCCACTTGGGAGAAGTAAATGGGATAGAATTTCTGAGTCAATTAACCAGTGCACCCTGGCTAATCCAACTCTCTTTTTCTTAAATCGGCTCTCTCTCTCTCTTTGGTGTTTGAATGTAAATGCAGATGCAATATTAGCTGGTAATTATTGGCCTAACGGAAGTGATATTGGCTTCTTCCACAACCTAACGCCAGTCTACTTCCTGTGTTTTCTTGGGGGGGGGGGGGGGGGGGGATTAAATGGTGAATTTGCATTACTGACGTAGTATGCCGAGGGTTCATCTGCCAAACCAGAAGTCTTACTAATGATACACATTGGGGATCAACCGCCCTCCTCAAATCTTGTCAGCCTGAAGGCGGTAGAATGCCATTTCCTCACAAGAGCGGCTCCATGGCACCACTCCATAAAAGCCAAGTGCTATTACTACTAGTCGTGTCTTGCTGTGAAGATTATGCTATTCTTTCACAGACATCTCCCACCCCCCATCCCCTTCATTCATTCCCACTGTAGTAGCTTGTTAAGGATGATTTGGGTTGACATCTGTTTTAGTGAAATATTTGGGCCTCTTGGCCATGGGCAAGATTCTACGTCACCACCCCAAGAGTGTGCAAGCCCACAAGGATCTCATTCTTGCCTGTCTTGACGATCGCGACGAGTCGATTCGTCTTCGAGCGCTTGATCTCCTCCACGGCATGGTTTCCCGATCCTCTCTCGTAGAAATTGTTCGCAATCTGGTTCGACATCTCTCCAGTGAGGACATTGGACTGCACTTCAGGGGGGAATTGATTGCAACCGTGGTGAAAGTTTGCTCTCAAGAGAATTATCAATACGTCATGTCATTTGAATGGTGAGTCACTGCGGTTATTGATGGCTATCTTCAATTTTCTTTCTGACGGACGATTACCCGCTTTACTTGCTTTATTGTTCTGCTGCACTAAGAAGGCTAATCGGCCATTTCGGAAAGGTGTTTTTTTCTTAAGGGGTAGGGCCACTGCTCATCTCAAATTACAAAGAAGGTGGAGACTGTTGCATGGAAAAATGCGTATTGGTGGCGAACACACGGTGCTCTCGTTTTTTGAGGAGTCATGAAATAAGCAACTCATATACCACCAATCACTGGCCTCGTAAGGTGTTGCTGTAGCAATTACACTGACTTCACCTAGCATAGTTGAAACAGTTCGATTTTTGTTTTATTCGCCTCTCCTTTGGGGGTATTACCGATCACAACTCCATTTCTGCACTTTGGTGTTAACCCTTCAATGGCCTTGGTACTAGACTCCAGACAGAAGGCGCGCTATTGTCGTTTTTGAAATTCGTTCAATACGTGTCCATGGCCGCCTTCGCTTGATACACCACCAAAACTCATCACGTCGGCGTCATCGGTCTGCTACTGTGTGCGAGACACGCGTGAGTGCAGTTGGGGGTGGGGGTGGGGGAGGGGTGCATTTTTCAAACAAACAAATAAATAAATCGAACGTTAAAGGCTTAACTCCTAGCCAAGTGTGGAGTTGCTTAGGCAACAAGATGGTTATGCTTTGTGTGTCCCACTCGTCGAAGTTGTTAGAGCGCATTTTGAAATTAGACGGGAAGAAGTTTCCATAGCATTTGTACTGGTTTCTCAACTTCTCCGTATCTTTTTTTTAACTTTAAAATATTTATTTATTTACTGCAAATGGCAAACGTTTTAATAGTTATCATTAGCTTTGGTGCTGACTTCGGGGCTTCACAGAGAGGAGGAGGAGGAGGAACATCAAAGTGACAAAAAGTCGAGGGGGGAGGAACAGAAGAGTGATTCACAGATGTAAAATAGACAGATAGATAGACAGACATAAAGACAAAGAAAAGGTAAGATGAGTACTGTGAAAGGGGTCGAATATGACATACAGTGGGGTGATGACAGTTTGAAGTCAGAAGTCAACTGCCGAGTAGTAGACTTTTACTGCCTTATGAGTATACGTTGCTCAGGGGGCACCACGTGGAGATAAGTCTATTGCGCACCCCAAACTTTAAAATATAGCGAATGTTCTGCACCAAGGCAACACAAAACTTCTTGGCTCATTCTCTCGTCTTCTCACTTGAGGCTGTTGGGCGCTTACCTTAACAGAGCTAACAGTAGGGGGGGGGGGGGGGGGTTTCTTT